TTGCTATTGCTATTGCTATTGCTAATACATTTTGGAACACTAGACTTCAAATATCAAAACAATCAACCATCATCACATTGATATACCCATTTATCCATCATCCATCATCTCTGTCCACATCTCCGTCTCCATCTCTATCATCTCCATCTCTATCAGGATGAATATATTTTGGAACACTAGACTTCAAATATCAAAACAATCAACCATCATCACATTGATATACCCATTTATCCATCATCCATCATCTCTGTCCACATCTCCGTCTCCATCTCTATCATCTCCATCTCTATCAGGATGAATATATTTTGGAACACTAGACTTCAAATATCAAAACAATCAACCATCATTACATTGATATACCCATTTACAGATGGCTCTAATTTTACACAAATCTTCAGTGACGCAACCTTGGCCACGTCAACCCCATCTTCCCTCCTGCAAAAAAAAAAAAGAAAAAGAATTCATTAAACAAGCTGTCAGGCAAACTGTAGAGTCTCAACATTGCCTTTTGTATTTGCAAGCTTCCCACCCCCACCCCCCACCCCCCACTTCTGAAACTGTTTATCAAGAATTCCTCTGGAGGGTTTTGAAGAGGGAAGTAAAAAGCAATTTTCGCTACTCAAAGAAATAGGTTGAAAAATTCAATAATACTGCATATCGCTTGCCAGGCTAAGTAATTACATGAGCTACAGCAAATATTTAAAGAAAAGCAACAATTTCCCCTCTCATTGCTGTTTTGTTGAGGATAATGAAGTCACTTGATAGGGAAGAAACTGAAATGAGGAGGAAGGAGAAAGGACATGAAGAACGAATCAGTCTCCTATTTATCAGCTCACGTTTCGAAATGTAATTTAAGGAGACACTTTCTGATTTGTTTAGGCAACTATAGAAAATTTGAAAAATTCAAAGTGATGTTCGTTTCTAGTATTCTGCACTTCATTTTCAGCACTTACTTTGATTTTTTTTAATACTGCTATATCAATGTAAGTAAATCATTATATAGTTTAACTCAATTATTTTTAGGATATTAGACCAAAGAATATCACCTTTGAAGACAGTCTCTCTCTTCCTCTCCCTCTCCCCCCTCTCTCTTTTCCTCCCTCTGTCCCTCCCTCCCCCCTCCCTCTCAGTGGTGGGCTCCTACCAGTTTGGACTGGTTCGGCTGAACCGGTAGTGGTATGGCGGCCTGGATCGCTGGAACCAGCAGCGATCCAGGCTTGCCATGTCCCCGAACAGGTTCCACGGTCTCTTCTGTCTGTGCCGGCATGTTTCTGTGCATATGCAGAACAGTTTTCAGTCAACTGCGCATGCGCAGCAATGCATAGTGGGGGCGCGTGCCAGCAAAGCGAGCAAATTGCTCTCTCAGCGAACCGGTAGTAATCTGGTTAGGAACCCATCACTGCTACCTATCCATCCATTCATCCATCATCTATCTCAATCCATCTATCCATCCGTCCATCCATCCATCCGTCCATCCGTCCATCCGTCCATCCGTCCATNTTTCTAGATTCACTTAGATCAGGCGTGTCAAACTAGATTTTTTCAAGGGCCGGATCACATACTGTATTTTTCAGAGTATAAGATGCACCTTTTTCCCTCAAAAAAGAAGGTGAAAATCTGGGTGCATCTTACACACTGATTACAGCA